AATCTACTTAAAAAGTAAATGAATCTTATAACTAATATTAATCATCAATAATGTTTAATGCTTAACCTTTTTCCACTGTATCACCATAATCATCATCTTCATCATCAACAACACCAAGCCTTTCTCCTCTCCATGCTGGCTCTGATTTGCACCTTGTGAGCATCAATGGCGCACCTGAAACCCCTTTACAATTGTCCACATTCTTCAAATCATCTTCAACCCTTTTCCCAATTTCTTCACCCTTTACATCACCCGGCTCGTCGATGGCGGAATTTTCTTCACTCAACTTACTGATAATTTCCCCTTTTTCCTCCGCCCAAAATCTGCCGCCCAGCGATGATGACCTGTACGGCGCAGATCTGCACCTCGTCAGGAGCAGAGCGTTTCTCGGTGGCGACCGAGACGACTGAGGAGAAGATTCCAGAAGCTCCCTTTTGCTCGTGTGCAAGTGAAATCCATCGTCCCCAATTTCTTCGAACTTCGCGCTGCTGCTCCTGTAAAAATCAGCCTCGCCGTCGCCGCTGCTAATGCTAATCCTTGCCCTGTTATGGCCGTTGTTGTTGTTGTCGTTGTTGTTACTATTGCCGGTAACAGAGCAATTTTCATTTCCCCCAAATTTCCGATCTGAATAAACCCTAAAATCGCCCTCTCCACAGCAATTAGACCTGAACATCGAGCGGAAAAACCTACCGAGGGGCTTCCTCGGGAATGCGCAAGAAATTTTCCCGCATGACAGCCAGTGGCGGCGGCGGCGGAGGCGGAGGTCGACGGCGGGGGCTGCTCCCGTCTTCCTGCGGCGGACGCGGACCTGGCCGATGCAGGTGACCTTCGGGGAGGACGGCTCCTGGGCGGCCTCGATGGCGCCGCCGGGGGGCCGCCGCCTGCTGCGGAGGTGGAAGATGGGGCTCGAGCGGGACCTGCCTCGGCTGCGGCTGCCGGGGTTGGTCCGCAGGATCCTCATTAACGGCGGGGGGAACTTCTCGGCCCGGCCCGGGCTGGATAGTGGTTTTGATAGAGCTCTCATTTTTTTTGGGTGGCTCCGGCGGATTGGGCGGTGGCGCTCGGCCGCAGCGGTGTTTGGCTGTGTGTGCCTGTGTTTTTGGTCTGTTTATTTGTTCTTTGTGCACTTAGATATATATGTGTTTGTGTGCGTGTGTATTTTGTTTATGCGTGCGTTTGGTGTTTTTGTGACAATTGACTGATATTATACACACTTAAAAAATACTATGATTATAGGTATTAATCATTTTTATAGACAAGACAAGACAAGACGTAATTTGAACTACAACATAAAATGCACGAAATAAAAAAATAATAATAATAATTACATATAACTTAATGTCATATTTCTGATCGAATAAAATATAAATTATACGAAAGCACTATAGTGAAACTCGAACATGAGACGACACGATAACAATATTCTTCACCCTACTACAATGGAGCAAAGGTTTTGCTTTAAAGTAGTTGGAATAAGTTAGGAGTATATCCTATCAAAATAATAATCAAATATAAAATTTCAAATAATTGATTGTAAATTTATTTTATTGTTAGTCTTTATTTATCTCAATGAACTAATGGGGATGAAATATTTTGAATGTATATTTACTGTAACTTTCAACATTTTTATTGCATAATTACTGCAAGCTACTGTATATCAACGTCTTATTCACAGTTAGTTTGACAACATGTGTCAAAGTGGCTGTTCCACAGGGAACCATTGAAGTTGTTAGGGGGTGATTCAATCTTAAGGGAAAATTCCATTAGAAAGTTCAATTTTTTTTGTAATTGTATCAATATAAGGCTCGAATTTTGTTCTTTTTCAATATAAGCTTTACATTTTAGGTTATTCTCAATTTAAGGTCAACTTTTTAATTAATTTCTTATTGAAAAACCCAATTAACGTTACTTTTTGACATAAATATGTGAACAGACTATTATGTCTTGTAATTTATATTTTACATATTTATAATAAGAAAATAATAAATACCTTTAGTAAAATTACATTAATAAGAAAATGAAACTACATAAATTACATTAAATCCGTTAATTATTTTTTATGACATAACCAAACCCCTTAAAATTTCATACATACTTGATATAATAATAATTTTAATATTATTTTATCTAATTAATTATTCATAACCAACCAAAATTGCAAAAATTGCATTATTGCAATCAATGGAAAGATTAATATGTAAGTTACATAGTTTATTTTTACTAGTAAAAAAATTTATAAAATGTAATATACTCACATAAAATTTATGATCATAATCTAACTTATGTTTTTAAATATTACATACACACATATAATTTATAAGTATTTATTTATATTTGTACATAATCACATAATCTCGAATAATTTCAAACCTAAGTTAGGCCAAAATAATCTAATGATATTATGGTGTGAATGTGGTTATTATATTCTGCTGACAGTGAACACTATAATAGTGATCTTTTTAACCTCACATTTCTGTGAGTTCTATATAGGAACTAGCTGGATACACATCAATAATTACATATTCATTGAGAATTGAGAGTTTGTTTTTGGAGGAGCTAAATAATAAACATGAACGTAACAATTTTTAATTTCTTGAAAATAATTAGAAGCTTAGATTTATTTATTTCTTGGCGGGGCTAAAAGAAATGAGCCCAACATTTTTAGGTTTATTATCTTTGAAAAATAATTAGATTCGTACACCTCTTTTATTTATTTAACATTGGATTTGCAGACGTAAAACTTGCTACAATTAGAAAGTATAAAATACCATCCAATACGATTAGAAAATACGGTTACATAGACAAATAACACGAATATTACATGACTTATTAAAAGTTAAAACACAACACAAAAATACAAAATAAATTTTTAATTAAATTAAAATCAAATAACATAGATAACACGGGAAGAAAAATATAATAGTAAACTAAGTTCAAACTGTGGATAAAGATTTGATATAAAAATCATCTTTTCTCATTTTACCCCATAATAAAATACATCACTTCGTTTATATGAAACTCTGGACAAAGATTTGACATATGAACCATCTTTTATCTATCTTTCCTTTGGCATCATATTTCGTGCAAATTATTTGTTAGTATCCCACTTTACACGAAAAGTCAATACAACTTTTTGTTAAATTTCAGTGGGGCTATCTATTCAATAATTCAATAAAATATATAACTATTGAGGTAGAAAAAATAAGAACGCATACATAACAAAATGGAACTTATATTTTTGTTTATGTTATTATGTATATCTATCTAATAAAAATATATACTTATATTATAAAATGTCAAGGTATGTCTATCGAATGTATAACAATAATTCTTGGAATGTCAATGGATTTATTCTTGATTGGTACTTAACTAACTATAGTGCAAATTTGTATCTCTTCGGTTAATAAGATCCAAAGTAAACAAAATTACATTTTAGGTAAATTACTTTACATTAATAATGGGATTTAAGCTTTCAGCCTTCATTTCTAAGTCAATCAAGAACCACTGATTTCATTAATGATATAAAGCTCAGAAAACAAGAAAAACAACATTTTTTAGGGTGATTATAAACTTTCAAGACAGTATGACCACATGGAGAATTAATTTAATATACAAAATTTCTTTTTTCTCTTTTCATAATTTATATTTGTGCTTGGAGAGTGAGGGGACCATTACATAGAGAAAAGCAAGAGTAAGCACCCAATAAAATATTTTCATGAGTTATGACATTGGAAAAGAAAAACAGTGTCAATTTTCTGAACAAATGTAAGAATCAAAGCCCAGATTTCGTTTCATCCCGACCGTTAATTCTGTTGATTCAAACTCCACTGTCCGATCAACCCCATCTGTTCTTGCTTTCAAACCTTCCTCATGGTTTTCAGTTTCTTCATCTGAAAATATATATATATATAATCTTTAATAATCTATTTTGCAATCACCAAGAATCACAAGGGATACTGATTATCATACCTGAAGCATTTGTGAGAGAAAATTGAGTTAGACGTTTAACGCAATCTTTTAGTGCCTTTAGCTCAGCTTCTTTCTCGTTTAGTTTAGAATGCACGTCTTGCAACTCGGCCTCTAACTCCACTATGTGATTTTCCTGTTGCTCGAGTAGCAAATTGCGCAGTTTCTCATCAAGCTCAGTAGGTAGTACCCCATTGCCTTCGAACGAGTTTAAATGCTCGAAATTCTTTATCTGGTATTGCCTTGTCAAAGCTTCATCCTTTACCATAATTTGCATAAAAATCATGTTTAAACAGAGAGATTAGTAAGAAATATGATTATGATCCTACACTTTTTCCGTTCTTTGGAATGCCTGAAAAAACACAGATATTGAAGTTTCTTTGTCTGGCATTGTCAAAAGCTTCATCCTTTACCATAATACACAAAAGAACAATCATCTATCAAAACCTCACTCCTAACATGAAAACCACTCATTAATTAATCGAAGTTTCTTTTGTAGCCTTGTGGGGCAAGAAAGTGACGGTTAAATTTGCCCCAAACGATAAAAAGAGAAAAGAAAAAGAAATTGGAGCAGATCAGTTATCTGTAACCAAGGTAGATATGCAAGGACCATTTTGTCATTTAAGCATCTCAAGACATTTTTGGTTGGATCAATTATGACTGTCATGAAAGCCAACCTATCACCCGAGCCCACAATGAACTCAATTGGTTTAGGTAGTTAGATGCAAATATTACGAGAAAGTTGTAAGAAAAGTATTGTGCAAACGGAAAGTTTGAAGTTGAAAGTGTACGCTATTTCGTCCCTCTAAGAGCCAGACTGTTCTCTAAATATTGAAGGACAAATGGATTATATAAAAAGATATAATATAGACAGTATGAACAGAATAGTTCAGTGTCACATAAGAGTGTATGCAAAACAGTTACAAAAGAGTAATTTTCAACTTGACCTTTTATGTCATCAAATGTCATCCTCTACTTCCACTTCCTACTTTTTTTGTATTAAGTACAAATCCTCGAAATGTCAGACCTTGTATGGTAATGTTTCCAAATGTCTACAAAGTGAGTTATATTTGTGCGAAAAATGAGCTTACTACTTGGGATAGTTAATTACTTGCAAAAGTTATGAAAATATAGTAGTTTCAAAGCTTTAAGTGGAGTGGTCGATTTAGAATGTTTCAGTATGACATATAACGATATCAGTGATAAAGATTGTAGGTGGTTGATCCACTGGATACAAATTGTAGTTATTATATCGACATGAAAAATGAAAACAAAAAATGATGATTCCCAAGGATAAAAATTAGCAACAAACAAAAGTTACTAGTACAACACCCATGTATTACATGGGTGGGGACAGCGCCTCATTCCGAACCGTACATAATTGATTCATAAAAGTGGGATCAGTATCCGGACAAGTCAAATCTATGACCGTCCCGGACCGCGCCCCTATAATAAATAATCAACATATTATAGATAATCCAAACCTAATAACGAAGCATGTAATTTTGCCACATAGGATCCCGAAGCATGCGAGCCTGCCACATAGGCTCAACGCGTTCTGAATTAATATATAAGGGGGATTTCATTCTGATGAATAGTTTGGAAAAAAGTCAAAATGGCCTGTCAGAAAGGAAAAGAACAGACAAGGGCTTGTATTTTACAAGCACAACTCAAGCATAACGCTAAAGCACAAGAATGACGAGAACCTGAGGTTGTGTTGCATTTCTAATTCACTATATTTCAAACAATATTACACACAAAAAGAAGCACTTTCTAAACTTCCGTTTCTTTTTACTAATTATCCAACCTTTTAGCTTATATTTGCAACCATCATAAATTTCTCAAAAAAACTTGCTCTTAATTAGTTTTTACGAGCAATCCCGCTGAACATTAACTGAAGTAAAAATACTAGAGAGAGAGAGAGAGAGAGAGAGGGATTACCTCAAACATGGCCATTTTTTCTTCAGAACCAGAAGCAGAAGCTCCCGTTGAACACAGTTTTTGTAGTTCCGATTCAAACTCTGCTTCCAAACGATCCATTTCCATCACCTCAGGCTGCTCGTCTTCTTTAAAACTACTTACACCACCACATTCATTTTCCTCAACCAAAGCAGGGCCCAAAGTTATTAAATCGACTTTCCTCTTCCCATCAAACTTAGTGAAAGATGGGCTGTCACAATTTATTGCGAGGAATGTCTTATTCTTATCTAGCGAGCTTTTCCTTCTAGAGATCTCTGCTTTCAGTTCATGTACGGTTTTTGCAGTCTCGTCTATTGTACAGTTCATCCTACTAATTTCTGCATTTCCAGCTGACATCATGTACATTATTCCAACACTAACTCCCCATCCAAAGGTATTATCTGATACCACCAAAAATAAATATTAAGACCCAAGATTGGGACTGGATAAGAAAGACTATCAATTTTTTTTATTATGGGCAGGCCCAAAATTTTGTTAGTTGCTTTGATCAATCGTTATAAATTTTGCACAAAAAAAATTGGGGAAATAAAATAAGTAGATTCAGTAAAAGGAGTGTGGCGTGACTCATATTCTCCAACTTAAACAAAACCAATCTATGTCAGAACAAAGCAGAGAAATCCAATATGTAGCATGAATGCATGATCAATTCAGATATGACTTTTTAAAAATTAATGCCTCAATATTATGTCGTAAGAAAAGGCGTGACAAGGCTATGAAGATACTTTTAGACCAAAAACCTTAGATATCTGTTATCTAATCTGCCATTGCTGCTATAGTTTCATTTGTAAGCTAACAATGTAAGAGGCTAATACCATTGTTGAGTTTTTTCAACCCCAATTTTTCCTTTTTGACTCAATGCTGCCGAAATTTCAGAAAATTCAGTGCTGATCGCATCCTATGATGATGCAAGTAACACTAAATAAAGAGATTAATGAACGAAAGTCGAAACAAAGAAAATGCCAACATCAAGCTTTCAAGCTATCTGAAACTTAGAAAGAGTTACTCACTGTACTAATAAACTCGAAACTATAGTTACAGAATGACTAATGTTGGCTTCCTCTATTCGGTCTTTTTACCAAACTAAAACTCTCTTTAATTTTGTGATTTCAATTCATATAAGACCGCCTAAAACAGTAGAACCACTTTTAGGGATCATTATCATAAGCTAAAATTTTGAAGCAAATAAAAAGCTATAACTGCAAAAATCAAACCTTTAGATGCACAAGATTCACACTTTCCACCAACATGCCTCCCAATTCGCCTCTTTTTCAAACAGACAGAGACTTTCTTCCCAACCCCATTTCCTCCGCCACCTGACGCCGCCGCCTCATTTTCTCCACTACCGTCGGCCGCCCATTTTTTCTTCCCTCTCTTTAAGCCTCTGTTTTTCTTAACCCCTCTGAACCCATTTCGAGAAGCCCTCTTCAATTCCTTGGTCCCCCAATCCGGACTCGAAAACCTGAAAACTCTGCCGCCATCTCTAAAAGACTCCGTTTTTCCAAGACTCTGGTTTTCTTCTAATGCGTCGTCGTTTTGAACATTTTCTTCAACATTTTGATCGGAACCTGAACTGGGGTTCAGTATTAGCTTCTTGGCTAGAAGCCCAGATCCTGCGGCGGCGGCCGCTGCTACTAGAACTTGCCACATTTTTGTTCTTCACAGGAATTAAAAAAAATTAAAATAGAAAACAAAAATGGATTTTTAAATAGAATATCTTGAAGCTGAGAAGAGAGATCAGAAAGGTCTTCAAGTATGAGAGGGAGAGGGAGAGAGAGAGAGAACTCGCTTTGAAAAGGCTGCAATGTTGGGTGGAGGCACGTGCTTCCCGCTTTAAAAGCCCTTTTTGGCATGGATTTTTTATCCGCCCGGTCCGGAATACTGAACCGGATTGACCTATCTATACCCGAGTTTTGCATTAAATGAGATGTTGCCCGTAAAACAATACTCTCTCTTATTTTTATTACTAGTACAGAGTCCCGTGCGATGCACGGGTGCATAATTTTAAGGCTATTTATCCAGGCTTATAATTATATACATAAATAAAAAAAAATGTACGGGATATATATAGTACGTGACCCGTACGAAGCACGAGATATATTTATTTGGAGAATATTATATTATAAGATGCAATATTCAATAAAAGTTTGTAACACGCAAAAAAATTGTACAATGTTCAAATACCCGTGCGAAGCATGAGATATATTTATTTATTTTATGATTTGATAATATAAACAAATCTATAATTAACTTTGACAAATAAAACAAATAAATACTTTAGTAAGTATTTAATGTATATACTAAATAAGAATATATTTGGTATAATCAAATACCAAATATAATCAAATAAGTCAAAGTGTACATTTTTATTTGGTATTTGATTTTTTCATTATTAAAATCTTTTTATTATACTTACCTTTTTAAAATAAAATAAATAAATCAATTAAATAAATAAAATATTATAATACCAAAATAGTAATGGCATTTAATGCAATTGACTTTTCTGGATAGTAAATGTAGTAAATAGAAATTCCTTTTATATAAGTATAGATTGTATAATACGGAAATAGTAATGCAATAAATGTTATTGACTTTTTTTTATACTAAATTTGGTAAATGGTATACCTTTTAATATAAGTATAGATTTGTCACTCTAGTTTAATTGATCATTTATTAAATAAATGTCATTTTAAATAAATATCATTCTGACTTAATTGATCATTTATTTATTTCATATTAAATAAATGTCGTGTGTCATTTTAAATAAATATCATTCTGGCTTAATTGATCATTTATTTATTTCATATTAAATAAATGTCGTTTTGGCTATTTGATTTGACCCGAATTTATTTATTTTCTTTTTACCTCTACACTAATTTTTGAGCAGAAGTATAAACGGTAGTTGAATTAAACCATTATTATTTTTCTTGTTTATGTTAGAAAATATTATCCTTTTATTTATTATTTAGCTAACGAACATTAACACCTATGGAGGAAAGTATTAAGATCCAAAAGAAAATAAAGTCATTTCTCTTAAAAATTACATCTATTTGCATAAGAAAATAAGCATAAATAATAAATATCACTTTACAAATTGCCAAAAAATAACGATTGGTGTGAAAGTTCAGTGTGATCATTCAAAACGATCATCTACTTGAAAATACAAATTTTGTTATTTAGGCCGACAAATGTTATGTACAAATTCTGTTGTTTGGATTCCAAATTTGTTGTTTAGGCTGGCTAATTGATGGAGACGAGATTGCTCTCGCGCTCTTCGATAAATATGATCAACTTCAGATTTAATTTGTTTATTCTTTTAGCACTATTCTTCCTTTTATTCTATTTCCTTATTTAGTTAATTATTATGAGTAAGTAAATAATTATCTTGCAGCTTGTTAAGCAAGATACTAGTAGGAGTAGGACCCTTATTTATTTATCTGGCCGAAGTAACAGACGTTTTGGTGGTGAATGAAATTGAGTTTTTATCATATATTGTGAGTTTTGCACGAGAGATTATCTTGTATTATCCCGTTCTTATTCACGTTCTACAACACTAATGTTATGTTCACATGTGATCTAGTACATTTAATTATAAACAACTTCTTGTTGTGAAAAAAAGAAAAGAAAAACATATTTTTACGCTTGTTTAATTGATCAACGGAGCAGGTTGAATCAATTAGGATGATATTCAAGCCAAATATCCTCTAGTTTAATTTCGACTAGTTTCAACTTGTTTCATAAACTTTTAACTTTAATCGAGGTATTATTAAACATTTTAACTTTAAAATAGGTATTATTGAACATGAATGTTTGTTAAGGATAGGTTACTACTTATTTAAAATTCATAGCAAAACATAATAAAACAACTTTGCGAACAAACTTATGTTTTGCTCGTTTAATAAACAAGTTTAATTAGTTGTTTGAGCTCGACTTGTTTACGTAAACAAACAAATTGAAATACGAATTTTTACAAGTCAAACACAAATTGTGTTGCTAAGTGATGGTGCAAGTGGAAGTCCTATTTGATTTATTGACTAAGGTGAATTAAATGAAAAAATTAGTTGGAAGAAAATTTAGATTTAATTTTGAATTTGCGAATAAATATGATTTAAAATATAATGATTAATGTTGTTTTGATATAAAAGTAGTAAATAATGAATGATAACTAAAAATATAAAAATAAATGAATCGTAGATTATTAAAAATTGTATAATAATAATTAACTGATACTACTATTATTTAATCATATTCATGATATTAATTATTAAATAATCAAGTTTGATTAAATTTAAATTATATTTTAGATTTAAAATTTTTGATCAAGCAAACGCACCTTCAGACTTCAGCTCTATCCAAACCGACCTCCTTTTCAGGCCCTTTCGTTTCCACTCCAGAAGACCCAAAAAGGCCAAAACCCTCGACAAACCCTAACAAAATGCCCGCCATGAATGTACTAGCCAGAGCAAAAATGTCGTCCCATCTGATATTCTCCTCCCCCTCGCCGGCAATGCGCCTCCTCAATTTCCACCCCAAGACCGCCGCCCTCCTACAATGCGAGACCTACTCCACCAAAACCACGGCCCGAGGCAGCAGCCGGAAAACCCCGGAACCGACAAAGCCCAAGCCCGAGAAACGCTCCGCGACGACATCGTTGATATCTTTCTCCCAGATAGCCCTGAAGCAATCGGAGGAGCTGACCGCCGTCTGGCCCAAGCCGGGGACGATATCGTACCAGTCGAAGGCAGCCAACTTCGTGAACCTGATCGGCCGGGTCGGGATTCCCATCCGGTTCGAGTCTGCCGGCGGCGGAAAGCATCTGGCCACCACCGTGATTTCCCTCATGAACGGTGGCGTAAAGGATCCCCTGAAAATCCCCGTCCTGTTCGAGGGGCTCTTGGCCCGCGTCGTTTCGGGTCATGTCCGGGAGAACGACTGCGTCTTTGTGTCCGGTCACCTGAGCGTGGACCCCACAGATCCGGTCCCAAACGAGAGCGAGAGCGAGAGCGAGAGCCTCGGGAAATTCCACGTCGTGGCTGAAAATATCAACTTTGTGGTGGGGTTGGAGAAGAATAGTTTATATGGGTTGGGAACTGATAAATCTGTTGAGAACGCAGCTAATGGGTTTGATGAATTGCCCAAAAGAGAAAAGACTGAGGACGACGAGCCATTAGCACAAACAGCAGTTCCGGAAAGTGGGAATGGCGATGGAAAGAAAAAGGATGTGGATAAAGCCATGGATCTCTGGAGGGATCTTGTGAAGAATCCTCTGCAATGGTGGGATTTTCGCGAGCACAAGGCAAACGGGCTGGTGAAGGCAAACCATCCGGATTTCAAGCAGAAGGTGAATGAGGAGCCTCTCTGGATTAAGAATGCCCCCAAATGGATCTTGCCTGAGATTGTGAAATTGGAGTTTGAAGTGAAAAATATGAGGCCGAAGCAGAACAAAACAGATGATTCTTGGAAGGAATTAGTTGAAAATCTCGATGATTGGTGGGATAACAGGGCCACGAAAAGAAATCCTAAAGCGCCCGATTTTGTGCATAAGGTAACTAGCAAGGGTTTGTGGTTGGATGGTTCGCCCAGCTGGGTATTGTCTAAGCTTCCGCCAGTAAAAAATTAAGTTGCCAAAAATTGATAATGGTTGAAAGAATGTGGGGACTGTTTGGAAGGATGTTTTTTTGGCTTGTTGAACTCTCCACGTTGAGCAAGTAAAGAAGAAAGCTGACTTAACGATTTTCGAACTTGTTAGTGGTTTTTGTTTCCTGGTTGTATCAGCTTTTGTTTGACTTGATTGTACCCTGTGGGGACTTATCTTCTGTTTGTGTGTACAGTGGATTTCGCCTTGATTTTGCGTTCTATGCAACTTTTGCTTATTGAAGGTACAAGTGTTGCGATTCTCTCAATTTTGATTCATTTGGATGGCCTCTAAGATGTTGTGAGTTTCTTGCATTAGCATAAAACACTGTGTTTAGCTACAGCATTTGATATTTAGTACTGAGAGCCGAACCTTTTCATGCGGATCACATAACTTATCTGCTCTGCTTTGGAACATAAGATTTTTATATATATTGTTTTGTNAAAAAAAAAAAAAAAAAAAGATGAAATTTGAACGAACACACTAGGGACGCATATTTGGTTCAAGTTTGCTTTTCTTTATATTCCAAACTGTAGGTGAATGCACAACATCACAACAACTATTTGGTGCAGAAAAGCAACATTATGTTGCTGCATTAGTGCATTTCTTATACTTGAAGGCAAGACCCTGCAAAGCAAATTCTCATCAATTAGTTTAGCTCCAATTTCAAAACATAACTATATAGTATATAGTATATAGCCAACTTCACTTCATTTAGACATAAATATTTATTCAATCGTCATTTTCAAATCCGTTATTTTCAAGAACACCGCTTATATCACCATATCCTTCCTAACGTTTCCCCAAGAAAAAAAAATATCAAATTTGTTGGACGAACGGGCGAGGTTTTGCATTATCAACCTGAAGCACAAAAAGCCAACCGAAGCCTGATGGACGAACGGGAATCGGAAAGTAAGAAGACAACATTCCAGGAAGAAATCGACAAAACAGAAATCAAGGAAAAAGACGCGAAAAGACTCCTAATTGTGGTCACACCAACGAGCACAAGAAATAAGCTAAGGCTCGAATTCTATGATCACGGCTTCATTGACGAGATCAAAGCAGTTGAGTGAGTATTTTCTTTGTTCTTCTAATTAGTTCTCAATCGGTGTTGCATATACGTATCGTAAGGAAGACAAAAAGAAAGAAAGAAAGAAAATGAGGTTTTTTGATGATTACAGAAAAACACACCAGTCAAGTGTTGGTTACTTACAATGCGGTTTTCTCTGAATTTAAGTAACAAACTTTTACTTAAATGCTCCTCAGTGTTTTTAACATTTTTGGCTGTGATTAGTTGACTTTTTGGCACCAAATGAAGCCACTAAAATTAACTTGAGCTTAAAGATATTTTTGTTTACCAGATGAGTCCGAGGTTAAAAAAGAAATGTTTTATTTGGTCTTTTTGAGATGTGAAATGTACTACTCAAAGGTTATGAGGTTTTTCAGGGCGTTTGGGGCATGGCCACTAATCATACCGTTTGTATAAATTCAAATACTTGTATACTTAAATACCATATTTGAAAATACATCATAACATGACATTTCATAGCATAAACATACATATTTTTATAAGAAAACATGACTATTTAACAATTAGGCAGCCTAAGAGCAACATTTTGTGAATAAAAATACTATTTTATTTTCGTGTATTTTTTGTTCAAGTGCAGAATTCACTCAGATTTATGAGAAAAGAGGTTCTTGAAGAGGAAGCCAACTTGAAGGGAGTTTCAGATAAGGATTGCTCTAAAGTTTTGATGTGGGATCTCAAATTCCTAAGGTACAATAGAATAAGATTGTCCCCAAAGGAATCCAGAGGATGTAATCTATATATATATAATAAGAATTAACATTTATAAAAAATAGTAGCAAAAAAATTGATCAGAATTTAATGCAGCCTATAAATAGTAACTTTTATTATTTTTCTTATTTTTTTCTTTAAAAATCATACAACATTAAATGCTGCCTTAAATTTCGGGCTTTAGTTCATTTTATTATTTAAAAAATTTAGCTAAGATTTATTAAGTGTGTATGTTTTTATTTTTATTTTTTTCTTAGAAATAACAAACAACATAAAATCTCGGTCTCTTATATTTGTAAAATCTCAATTCAAAATATAACAAAAGTTTTAGAATCTTGGTTTTTATATTTGTGCCTTTAAAAAAATATTGAACGCTAAAATGTTCTTTAAATTGCATAATCATTCAACTAATCTTAATTTTTTGAAACTTACTATGTTTATTTTTTATTAATATGCATAAAGTAAAAATAATTAATTCATCTTTAGATATATAATTTTTAATCTTAATATACTATCATTTGGTGTAGACATTTATTATATAAATCATAAAATATTTTTATTTCATAAAATTAAATATATTTAAAGAAAAAAAATTTTGGATCAATCGAGTGATTGAATTAGGGTACTGCCCATGTTGATTGAATTACTTGTAGGTGATATTTAAAATAGTAAAAAAAAATTGACACAACTTGGTTGATCCCAAGTGGCGAAGTTATGTATCAATTCGACCACACCAAATCGATTATTGAACATAAATATAAATTTTATATGGAAAATATTTTATTACGTGAATGTGATATAGTCCAAACTTTAAATAATCGTATTAACAATACTTTTATGACAACATGTTTAATGATTTATGAATATTTATATATCATTTTATTAATATCTATGTGAATTAAACAATAGTTATTAATGTACAGTAAATATAAGGTTTTCAGAACTAGACCGTCATCGAAACGATCAAGCTATTTTATTAAATCATTTGTGGTTTGTTCAGATTTTAATTTATAAGCATTTTCATATATATAGTACTTTTTGTAATAAATTTAAATAAAATGTGTTACTTAGATATCTAAATAATTTATAAATTCAAATGTTTAAACTAATTGATAAATAATTTATAAATCGCTATTTTATTTAAATATTTAATTCTATTTAAAATAATTTTAAATATAACAAAATTTATTTAGAAAATCGTATCGATCCTACCAGTCCAACCGATTGGTGTTGACGGATTCGAGAGCAAATATTTTACTCAAGCGAACTAAACTGGTTATAACCGGTTCTCGGTCAATTCGGTCAGACTGTGTTCAACCTGGTTTAATTTAAAAAGAATGGATAAATCATGATTAATGTTATTTATATATTTAATTTATGATACAATCGTAATATTGTTTTCCCGTGCATCGCACGGGCCACGCACTAGTTAAGAAGATAGTATTTACAAAATAATGAGAAGCAACTTAGCAATACCCATTTTCCACACAAATTCCTATTCTTTTATTTTTGTAGGTTCATCACTTTGTACTTTGTAGTAATGTTATCTTTTTTGTCCATTTTTGTAATGCTTTGCATTTGCAAGCAAACATCTTTATATTCTTATGCTAAAAAATACATGTTTCGTGAAACAAAAAATATGGAAACAGATAAAATAAAAGAATAAAACCAGAGGGAGTAAAAGATTTTAGTAATTAGTTTTGGCTCAACTTACTACCTGAAAGATTTGATCTTTTTAGACACATCTCCAGAAGGAATAAATTTCAACCAGCCACAGTGACAGTTAAAGCAAGATAATTGCTACTCATGAAGACATAAGAAATGTGAAAATGAGGAACAACAAAAAATGCCTAAAATTAACATTAATACCGGTTAACAAATTGAGGCCAAAATGTTGTCATTGCAAAAGAGAACAAAATATTTCCACTCCTTTCCTTTAAGCACATTGTAGTAACGGTTATCTGCAGCCAAACGAAAACCAGATAACCATTTTCGGGTTTTGCCTGTCAATGCTCGATTAACTTATCTACATTGTCAAATTCCAAACCAAAAAAACTATAATAAAGTCTCATCCGGTGAAAGACTCTGCCTGAGCTGAAGTCTCTTGTAAATTGCCTTCTGTTAGTGTATTCTTCTTATCTACAGTATCAATCGGGCCTTGCGGGCTTCCAAAAACTGTCGAGAGTATTTGCCTGTGACATTCATCGCAAAAGGAGAAATACGAGAAGTGGCCCTCGTTTGGAAGCCTATGCACAATGGCTGTTTGAAGAACACGGCCCACATAATCAGTCAACGATGGCGGGACCACCATATCATCCATACCCTTTTTCAACAAAAAACAAAAATGATGCAAGAATTTTAATATAATGAGCTTTTTTTCAATCACTAAAATAATTATTTTTTAGCTATTAGCTCCCGGTTAAATAAATAAATTAATTAAAAACCAGTTTTTTTTTTTTCATTCTATTATTAGAATAAATAGAAATGTGAATGAGATTATAGAAAAAATGTTGGGCTGGACCTGCCATATGTGGATCGGGCCTAAGTACCCGATCAGTTCACATTCGGGCTTTCCATACATGAACTGAAGCCATGGAAAAATGCCTTTTCGGGTACATTTTTTCTGTACTTGAAGATCCACGAGCTTGAAACCCCAGTCAGTAACCTGAAGCACAGCTTCCTCTACAAATGGTATTGGGTTATTAAGACGAATCGACTCCTCCACGTCCCTTTGCCATATTTCTTCAAAAGCTGTTATCTTTACAAGATCTCTATCCTGCACACAGAATTAAAATAACCAAACTATTTATGATCGAAGCTAATATATCAATTTGATTTTTGAGAGAGTTGTTAATAGGATTTTACACATAGTTATGCTTATAGTAAAAACGAGTACCTTCTTTCCCAATGATGAAGCTAACCATTTATCTACAGGACCGTGCTTCCCGGAGAGAAAAGTTCGACGGTAAAAGTAAGGAAGGAAATTCGGGAATCTTCGTGCCAGAAAATACAAGAATCTTTTTCGCCGAGTCCAATTTCTCCAAGCTCCAGACATCTCTTCCTTTGTCATGCCCGAATCATACGGGTTTACCAAGGGGGCAAACATGATAGCACCTGCAAGCCAAAAATCGTGTTATATCATTATTAAATAACTGAATTTGTTATTAGTTAGTTCTTGTTCAGTGTTTTCGACCTGCAATATTATCCGGAATATACTTCAGAGCTGCCCAGGTGTGCAATGAGCCGCTCGAATATCCCAAAACCCAGAATTTGCCACTTACTCCCACAGAATGTGCCAAATATAACATATCCAGAGCAGACGAGCTAAGATTTCTGTTAGGATGAGGATCACTTTCGCCAAATCCCGGGAGATCATATGTTATCAACCGAACACCAAATTCTTCCAGAAGCTGAATTTTGATACCCGGAACACCTACCATTCAATCATTAATTTTTTATTTTTTATTTTTCGTTAGATAAACACAGCACACACCTTTCATATACATTTTGTTCACAGCAATCAGTTACCTGCAAGACGAGAAGAGAGAAATCCATGTGGGACAATCACGGTAAATCTTGCTTTAAGAGAAGGAACTCCATTTTCGTGATATGCTATGTATCTCCCATCCGGCAGAAGTATCCGTGTGGCACTCGGAGGATGCAGAGAGACTTTCTTCACCGACGAAATTGTGGCCTCGTATTTGCTATTTACACTCAGAACTGTACAGTGTTGTATAAACAGAATAATCGATAAGTCGATTCAAATGCCGGCACATTAGTTCGAAATCATGGGAACAAAGGGGATTGTGTGTAATTTGGATGTACCAACATTAAATTGACCAAAAACTAGAAATGGGATCCTTCCTAGTATGCATAGCTACCAAATCTTGAATCCTAATTCCATAATTCTCAGACCAGACAAATTTATTCCAG